GAATCGCTTGAACCTGGGAGGCAGAGGGCACTGAGCCAAGGATCACACCATTGCATTCCCAGCCCTGGGCGACAGAGCAAGATCCTGTCTCAAAAACAAGTGGGGTGGTTGGCGCGGCTGACCCAGCACACTGAAGAAAGGAGAACGTAGTTCAGGTTGAGGCCCGGCAGGGTACAAGTAAACCCAGCTGAACAGAGAGGGCCATGGCAGACAGGAAGGGAGGGAGACGCCACTCTGAAAGCCCTTAAAAGCAGCATGGATAACACTTGCTGGGCTCTGGGAGAAAAATAACAGTTTACTGCCAGGCGGGAGAAGATTTGGTGGCGAAGGGTACTTGCTTCCTTAGGTCGAGGTGAAAGACCTTGGCAGCAGAAAAGGCTGGCTCTGGCCCCTTCCCCTGGGGAAGGGGGAGCTGGGACCTGCCTGACCTTATGCAAAAGTCCGACAATAGTGGGACGGAGGACGCGGGCATCCGAGGAGCCCCTGCCCGGGATTTGCAGATGCGGTGGCTGCAAGAGCTGAGGCCAGGCCCTGCCTGGTGCTGACGCGGTGAAATCTAAAGCTCCCGAAAAGCCAGGCTTCCCCCCGCGGGGACAAGGCCATCCAGCACCACAAAGAGGAACACAGAATGGGGTTTCAGAACAAGAAAAAAAAAATTCTTTCGGGGCCCTGCTGCATTTGTGTGAGTCTGGCTCCTTTGCATCTCCATCCACATCAACGTTCACTGTGAATGGAGCCCAGAAGGAAGGACAGGCTCAAAATGAAGGATGGGGAGGGAGGGAGACTTGGAAAGGCATTTGCCTGTTCTTAAACCACCCAGGAAATGAGTGTGCCACCGTCCGTTATGCTTGTGAGTGAAAAGGGTGGAGGGTGACGGGAGCCACTGCTTCCGGGAGGTCAGGGAAGGACATTCTGAAAGTGACATTGAAGTAGAGACCTGAAGAAATGAGGGAGGGCGCTGTGAAGATATTTGGGGTGGGAGGAATGCTTTAGGGGAACATGTTTGACAGATCCAGAAACAACCCAAAGGCCACCCGATGTAGAACAGGATGGAGGCAGGAGAAAGCAGGGGAGTGGAGGCAGACAGGTCCCGGGCCATCCCACAGGGCAACGTGGGCGAGGTGAGGAAGTCGCTTCTGTGAGTGTGAGGTGAGCAATGGGGGAGTGACATCATCTGACTCAATGGACAAAGGTCCCTCAGGCCGATGTGTGAACCGTGAAGAAAGCATGGACCAAAACAGGGACACTGTGGTGGGGTGCAGGCAGGCGCCCAGATGTGGGGTTAGTGGTGGAGGGGAGAATGGGCTGGTACTGGATCTGTTTCCAAGGTAGAGTGGCGGGACTTGCTGATGGGGTGCGATTATTGAGGTGCGAGGAGGGGGTAGCTACAGGTTTTGGGGATGAGGAGGGGAAGTCAGGAGTGAAGTGTCTGGTTCTGCACACGACCTCCAGGGTGTCTATCAGATGCCTGGTGGAGAAGTGGGGGAGGATCTGTACCCAGAGGGTTTTAACAACACGGGCTGGGCCAGAGGTGCCGAGAGAGAAAAGAGGAGATTCCCCCAGGAGCAGCAACGCTGAGGCTCAGGAGGAGGAACAGCCAAGAGAGGAGCCACAGTGTCATCCTGGGCTGAAGGCTGAAATTCACTGCACTAGCCAAACAGCGTCTGGCGATTTTGGTGATGAACGATTTTGCTGGTGCGTGAAGACTGAAGGCCTGGTAGAAGGGCTTCAAGGGAGACAGGGAAGCAAGAGATGGTGTTAGGGATGAGTTTGCTGCAGTGCTGGAGGAAGGTGGGTTTTGTTAATGACCTTCCCTCCCTGCAGCCAAACCACAGCAGAAAACCCATCCAGGGCTCACACAGAAGGACCCCCAGCCAAAAGCCTCTTCCTGCAACGGGAAGCCCACCAAGGTTAGAAACCAGAAATCACAACCTAACACTACCCTACTGTCAGTTTTGTAGGTGACCTTGGTAGGTTACTTAACTTCTTGGTATTTCTCAGCTTCCCTCACCTATAAAATGGGCAGCACAGTCCTGCCTTTTCTATATGGTAGCTGCATAAATGATTAGGTAACATCACTGATGGGCATTTACGTCCCCAGTCCACTTTCTAGCTCTGCGTATTTGAATACTCTAAGTACCTCACAGAAGTGGAACCATGCAGTATTGGTCCTTTTGTGACTGGCTTATTTCACTCAGCATAATGTCCTCAAGGTTCATCCATGTGGTAGCATGCGTCAGAATCTCCTTCCTTTTCAAGGCTGCGTAACAGTCCACTGTATGCATATCTCACATTTTATTTATTATCTGCTGGTGACACTTCGGTTGCTTCCATCTCTTGACTAACATGAATAATTCTGCTATGAAGAGTTATACAAATCTCTGAGACCTTGCTTTCAATTCTTTGGGGTATATATCCAGAGTGGAATTGCTGGATCAGACTGTAATTATGTACACACACACACATATATGTATTCAAATATGTATCTCTGTGTGTGTGTACATATATACATATATATATACTTATTTATTTATATATATATTTTTCTAGGAACTTCCATACTGTTTCCCACAGCAGCTGAGCATCTTACATTCCCACCAACAGTGCACAAGGCTTGTAGTTTCTCCACATCCTTGACAGACTTGTAACTTTCTGGTGTGTTGTTTTTGTTTTTGTTTTTTGTTTCGATCCTAGCCATCCTAATGGTTTAGCCATGCTAAGTGATCAGGATGGTCACTATTATTATCAAGTGAGATAACAAATCAGAATGTATTTTGAAAAAGAATTACATCTGTCAGGATCCAACCAAGAAAACAGAAAGCATTAAAAGGAACTTAGTGGGGGAGATTAGTCACACAGGGATGGAAAGGCTGAGAAGTCAAACAGCAGGAAGCCATTAACTTTACATCCACCTAGGCAGAGGACAAAGGACGCAGGGCCACCCAGGGGAAGCCAAGTGGTGAGGGGAGCTGTGGAGGCAGCTGGAAGAATCTGGAGGAATCTGACCTGTGAGAAGAACCACAGCAGACATCCTCTAGGAGGCTCTGAGAAAGAGCAGGGCACGTGGGTGCGGCCTCGGAATAAATCAGGAGGTTAGCTTGTCAGAGTGATCTGACGATGAGTCAGGACACCTGGGCGTGGCGGTGTCCCGAGCACGAGAGTGACACAAACACACAGGACAGCAGCACCGAGTCTGGACAAGGGGGCGCGAAGGACTCAAGCATGTTGCCAGGCCTGTGGCTGAAACTGAGAACAGAATAGAGAAGCAGGTGGAGCTTACTGGGTGTCAACCCTTCCTTTATCAACCCCATAGTAAGTGATTAGGATGGTCACTATTACTACAAGTGACGTAACCAATCAGGACGCAACTTTCCCCCCAAAAAAAACCACCTGAGTCACACAGATCTCAACTTTTTTAAAAAATCAAATTTTTATGTGAGATCACTGTTAAGTTTGTGTTCAGTTGTAAGAAACAGATCCGTGTACCTTTTACCCATTCCTCCATGTTGCAAAACTAGCACAATATCACCGCCACGGTAGACGCAGACAGTGAGGCCACAGGACATTTCTATCAGCAAAAGGGTCCCTCTTGTGCCCCTTAGAACCACGTCCACCCTTGCCTTCCAACTATTAATGCTGGCAGGACTTAGCCAGGCCGTAAGGGCGCGTACTCAGAATAAGGAAGAGGGTCAGGCGCTGGGAGGGCGACTGCAGGTGGACAAACTGCACCTACGCCCGCGGTACTTGAGGACACCACAAAAGTCCGCGGAAGAGGCACCTCGGCACTTCCGCGAGCGCCGCAGGCCCTGCCCCTTTCGCCGCGGCCGACCCAATTGCGGCCCGAAGGCCGAGCCGCTTCCGCCCGCGGCCGGGGAGGGCCGGATGTGAACGGTGTTTTCCTTCCCTGCCGCCACCTTGTCCAAGATGGCGGACCTCCACCGCCAGTTGCAGGAGTACCTGGCGCAGGGAAAGGGGGCGGCCCGGCGGCCGCGGAGCCGCTGCTCGCCGCGGAAGGCGGAGGAGCCCGGGGACGGGCCGCGGGGGCGTGGCTGGGCCGCGCGGGCCTACCCTGGACCTGGGCGCGGAGCCCTGGGGAGTGGGCGGCTGCGGGCCCGGCGTGCCTGCCCAGCGTGACGGCGCGGCAGCGGCTGGCGGCGGGCGGCGGGTTGCCTGCTGGCTGGCGGCACTCTGTTTCGGCCTGGCCGCGCTCTACGCGCCCGTGCTGCTGCTGCGCGCGCGCAAGTCGCGCTGCTCTGGTCGCTGGGCTCGGCGCTGGCGCTGGCGGGAGGCGCGCTGCTGCGGGGCGGCGGCGGCGTGCGGGCGGCTGCTGCGCTGCGAAGAAGCGCCGTCCCGGCCCGCGCTGCTCTACACGGCAGCGCTGGGCGCCACGCTGTTCGCCGCGCTGGGCCTGCGCAGCACGCTGCTCACGGTGCTGGGCGCGGGCGCGGCAGGTAGCCGCGCTGCTGGCCGCGCTGGTCGGGCTGCTGCCCTGGGGCGGCGCACCGCGCTGCGCCTCGCGCTGGGTCGCCTGGGCCGCGGCGCCGGCCTCACCAAGGTGCTGCCCGTGTGAGGACCTCGACCCCGCGCCACTGGGAAGACGCGTAGCCAGCGCCGTCGAAGACTGCCCCTGCCGAGCCGAGGACTGCACGCCGGTGCCGGGACGCCCGCGGCGAAGACCCTGCCGTGACCGCCTGTGAGTCTAAGCCGGGAGCGGCTGCTGCCAGGGAGGCGACCGCAGCGTTGGGAGGTCGTCGATGTCAGCGTTTTGTGCTGGACTTGGCACATGCTCTGAAAACAGATTTGTCATTGAACTGGTGACAGGATGTGAGACGGTTATAAGTTGCTGTCGAAGTAACTGTGATCTTAGGTTCCGCTGAGTAAAGAAAAAGGACTTTTCTTCGAATTAGCTGCTCTCGTGATTTTTCTCAGGCTGTTTTGTCATTTTAAAATCCAGCGCTAGATGTAGCTAGCGACGGTAATTTTTGTTTTGGCTGTGTTAAAAACTTGGAAATTATTCTCTTCGGTGCCGGCGAATCCAGAAGGGTATCAGATTATTAAACACCGAATTCAGCCACTGAGTAAGTACTTTTAAAAGTACTTATTTAAGAGTTAATCTCGGGTTTTTTCTTCAGTTAACAAAATCATACATATGGTGCCTTATAACATGAAAGGAAAATTAGTTCTGTATTTCACGACGAAAGCGATGGACCAAAAGAAATTCCTGCCCCAGCAGCATGGGATCCAGGAAGGGGCGCGTACAAGCTTAGCGGGCTCTGCGGAAATCCTGCAAATAGGAAGATAATTCTAGATCCGGAACACCTGTATCTGATGGAGACCATGGATTTCTACAAGCTCGAATTATTCCTCATTGTATGGTCTGCTTTGTAAACTAGTTTACAATTTGCAGGCTGATCTTAAGATGCTTTTATATCTAATTGCTGCTTCCTTCATTTTAGGTTCAGCGGTTACTTTTACCTACCGTAATTTATTGCCAGAAAAGTATGAGCCTAACATTCTGATGAGTCCAGAAGACTACGTTTTGTCAGTAGCAACACACTAGGAAGTAAAATATATTTAGAATTTAAACATTGTGTGCCAGTGGTTCTCGCGCTTGACTGCATGTCAGTTACTTGAAGAGCCACACCTCTGATCAACGCAGTCTGAACCAGGGAAGTAGGTCCTAGACATCAGGACCTTTTTAAAGCTCCCCAGGTGATTCTACGTTCCCCAAGGTTGAAGACCACTTCTGTGCCTTGGCTTGCACAATTTGAAAATAATGCTTTTCCTGAGCTGGATCCCAGTGTTGCCTAACAGGGTGTCTGCCGGGCCGCGGTAGAGCACTGCTGCTTCCTCCAGCCCCAAAATGTATGTTCCTAAGTTAGGTCCCTAAGCACTGTCCCAGCAAGTGACGCAAGTGGCCAACATCCACGCTGTAGGATTGCAGGCTACCCGCCCTGAGATTTGGTGAAGAATACTGCCTTGTTCCCCGTCAGTAAACAAGGTTACCTACCTCAGGCGGCTGCTAGTGAGGGAGCAAATGCAGTATTTTCAGAATGATTTATTTTTTTAATTGTAAAGACTTGTGCCATTGGCTGTTCTTTCTAGTCACCTAAATTTCTGTTCTCATTTCTCTAGAACTTGCAATAGTTGGGGGTTTATAATGTTTTACAATGTTTATTTTCTTAAATAAAAACTTTAAAATTCAACATTTCTCAGCTGGTGGCTCACACCTGTAATCTCAGCATTTTGGGGAGGCCATGGCGGGAGGATCGCTTGAGGCCAGGAGTTCAAGACCAGCCTGGGCAACATAGTTAAACCCCATCTCCACAAAAAATCTTTTAAAAATTCGCCAGATGTGGTGGCACAAAACTGTGATCCCAGCTACTCGGGGTGGGGCTGAAGTGGGAAGATCACTTGAGCCCAGGAGGTCGAGGCTGCAGTGAGCTGTGATCGCACCACTGCACCCAAGCCTGGGCCACAGCGAGACCCTGTCTCAAACATTTTCTCTCAGTTCAAACATTGAAAATCTAGTTTTTATAAGCTTCAAATCACAACATCTAGTATGTATTCTGACAGTGATGTTTTTAAATGCCATTATGTATTTAATAGATATAATGTAGGCTTCTTGTTTCTCTAAATGAAATCACTCTCAAAATGTGATCTGTCAAGTCCAGTAGAGCTTAAAGGTAAAATGAAAAATGTTTAAAATGTGATCTGGTTATCTGCTTGAGATACTATGTTTTTAAAGTTACAGCCCAAATAATGAAATTTTTTCCACTGGAATCTCAGGGAAAAAAAGGCTAATCTTGATATGAGTTTGGTCTCTGGATCCGGTTTAGCTTCATGAAATTTGATACAGTTTCTCTGTCTTTAAGCTATACCAGTTGGGGGAGAGTGAAGAAATATCCATAACCTAAAGCATCTTGAGCCTTATAATAGCATGTTTATTGTGGGGTGCTGATTAAGCTGTAATTTCAAAGTTAAAAAAAAAGTCTCTGGATTCTAACACTGAAAAGCAGTGTATATGGCTGACATTTTCTCCACATAAATCAGTTAGCTTTTGCTAGTTTTACATTCATGGAGAACCACTAGAGTTTCATATACTGTTAAACTATGTCAGTATGCCTTTTCTAAGCAACCACTGAAACTCCAGGCAGCAGCATGCCAGGTCCTGTGGCTCACATCTGCAATCCCAGCACCTTTGGGAGGCCACAGGAGGTGGACCGCTTGAGCCCGGGAGTTTGAGAGCAGCATAGGCGACGTGGTGAAACTCCATCTCTACAAAAAATACAAAAAAAAATGAGCTGGGCATGGTGGCGTGTGCCTGTAGTCCCGGCTACTAGGGACGCTGAGGCAGAGTCGAAGCTGAAGTGAGCCGTGATGCTCCACTGCACTCCCGGCTGGGTGACAGCGAGACTCTGTCTCAAAAAAAAGAAGAAAAATGAAACTTCCAGCACCACTAAATGTGCCAAATAAATTTGACTTGACGCCAAACTGAAGCTGCCAATGTAATGAAATGTTAAGGTGGCCATAGGACAGTCCTTTTAATAAAAGCTTCCATGTAAAACCAAAATAAAGGTCAGTATAGAAAGTATCATGGGGTATAACAAAACTGAATTTTTGGCTTCCAATCCAAACTGGGCTAAATGTATGTTTATTTCAAACAAGAATTGCCATGGACAAGATCTGTCTGGCTTATGAATTAGAAGTACACCCTGCCATAACACTGGTATTTCCACATAGCTAGTATGGAAGAGAAAGAGATTAATTAATTAAGTGTTCCAAAATGGTTTTAGGAGCTATTTTGGTCCATTCCTTATCAACTCCATGTGTGATTTCAAGTTATCTAAAGGGCATGTGACGTTATTTCTGGACTAACATCAAGTTGCTCTCCTCATCCTGACAAGGCCGATTCAAATCTACACTGTGATCCTAGGAGATGCTTCCAAGGGGGACTCCCTCGCTGGACAGCCAGAAGACTGCATTTTCTCTTCAGAGTTCAGTTTTCCATCTGTCAGAGCATGTCTGAGTATAACTTTGAACCTACTACAAACTACATTAATCTTCAAGTATTTCTCTATCACAAAAATGTGTGACAGAATTTGTTGAGAAACACAAAGTTCACAGCTGAGATTAATTTAGATGACTTAGTGGTTACTATGCTCATGAACATCAGCGATAACCGTGCACTCCTCGGCAGATGGGATGCGATGGAAACCAAAGGTTTCCTTAAGGCAAGCACTCCACAACTAGTTTTCTGTTAATCTTGCGTAAATCACATTCTGTATTTCATACAAAAACTTTTATGTTTTTCTCTGACAAACTGTACACATAGAAACAAATTTCCAAATGGACAGGAACTTAATTGTGGAGATGCCCCATGTCTTGTGAGACTTAAAAAAAAAAAAAAGATCCCAGCCTTTTATCTTCACAAAACAACATGGGAGTTGGGCAATGAGGGTGACAGGACAGGAAAGGGCCAGCTGGGCTGGTAGCTGGCAGCAGTCTCTTCATCTGAAGACCTCATTGAGGGTTCCTGGGATTCAGGTGCCCAGAAGAGTTCAGGGCTACAATGGTGCAGGCTTCCTTTTGTTTCTCTTGGTAAGTCCACAAGAAGTTCTTAATACTGTCCAGAGAGGCCTCAGGGTACTCAGTTCCAAAACTTCTACCGACCCCTTCCACCACCCCGGAAGCTCCTCGCCTCGGCGGGCCAGAGTTCATGTTACTCCCTCTACCCCAGTTACTGCCACTCCGGCCCCTCGAGAAGGGGGTGCCACTGCCTGGAGGGCCCCCAAAAGGTTCATCTCTGTGGTATCCATCGTGGTGTTCTCCGTCTAAAGAGCTGGAACGCCCAGATTTGGGCACTCTCTGGGCAGGTCCTGGGCCCCCCGCGGCCTGAAACAAAGAAAATTCACATGGGACTTTCTGTATTAGCAACTCTTTGTCAGTAACTCCCAGTACAACTTTACTCTCTGATGACAGTGGACCAGTTCTGGTGGGTGCCAGGGAGACTGGCAGTGGTATTCAGAGTACTGAGAGGTGTGCCTCTACCCTTTCCTGACCCTGCCTCCCCCTTCCTGGCTTATTGCCATGGGCCTCAGCATCAGCCAGATCCGTGTCCCCAGGGCTGTGACAGACGATGGGAAGCCAAGAGATGAGCACAGAGCACCTTCAGGGAGATCCGGCCACACTGGCCACGTCCCAGGCCATGGGAAGTGTACCTACCTGCTCCCAGCCACCAGGGTATGTTGAGGGAAGGTTTGAATACACTGACTTGACTTTGGAAGTACACGCTGCTAATGTTAATAAAAAGTGCTCCAACTAGGATGAGTGTTCACTGGAACTGTCCTGTGACATGTGGCACTTTTGGCTTCCTTTTCATAATTAGTAAAATATTTCTTGAAAAAACAAAAGAAAAGCACAAAAACCCCACAAACACTGGCTTTCAGGTTATCACCTAGGCACAGCTTAACTTGCTTCAGACTTGAACACACAAATGTTTAGGTACTATTAAAATTCTTTCATTCTGCTGGAGCTTGAGAATATATTTAAAAAAAAAAAAAGAAAAAGGGAAAAAAATCTACCTTGTAAGAATTTTTTCCTCAGGAAATGATAGGATTTGGTCACATCTCCCATAATGCCCTTTCAGAAGACTACTGCAAACTATCCACGGTCTTATATTTTGTAATAGAATATGAATCTAGCTGAGATGAGGTTAGGAGAACCAGCCAAAGGAACAATCTTGCCTTCTTTTCTTACAAAGAGCAGCTTCAACCCACCTGAGGGCACCTGGGCAGCGTGTCAGCTCCTACGTCATTCCCATGCTAATTGCACGTCCTTGACCAGAGGGACCTAATAATGGCACGCCAAGGACCCAAGACAGTCAGCCGAGGTCACAGCACGCTGGCTAGTAGTACAGTGTGTTTATGCAGGGAGATCTATTGATGATACATAAGGTAATTTCTGAGGGTTTTGTTGAGACAAACAACTATCAAGACCAAATGGCAGGCCGGGCATGGTGGTTCACGCCTGCAATGCCAGCACTTTGAGAGGCCAAGGCAGGTGGATCACTTGAGGCCAGGGGTTCGAGACCAGCCTAGCCAACGTGGCAAAAGCCCATCTCTCTAAAAACACGAAAATTAGCTGGGCGTGGTGGTGCACACCTGTGGTCCCAGCTACTGGGGAGATTGAGGCACAAAAATCGCTTGAACCCAGAAGGCAGGGGTTGCTTGTAGTGAGCCAAGATCACACCACTGCACTCCAGCCTGGGCGACAGAAAAAAACCCAAAAAGACCAAATGGCAGAACTCTGTACTGGAAGGACTGTCCACACAGACAGGCCAACTTCGGGAGCACAGCACAAGCTGGGGCACGTGGGGAGCAGCCTTCCCGGGAGCCTCCGAGCCACAGCACCTGTGCACCTCCCCCGCTGCCTTGCAACCAGAGTTGTAGTCAGCCTTCGGAGGCGAATACTCCTGGCTCAAGTTAGTGGTGCCTATAAAATAAAGCTCCAGAGTTTCCAGTTGAGGAGAGAATCTCCTGTGCCCCCGGAAACACTGCCCATAGACCATGTTTTCCAAAGTCTTTGTGACTTTGAGCACAAGCAGTGTTCCTCTAGATCCAGGCTAAAAAACCAACAGAGCACCCAGGAGAGGACAACTGTTCCCTCCCACTGAGAGCCCCTGCGGGTTCCGAGCAGCCGTCGTGGCGGGCAGACTGCCAGTGAGAGCAGGGCTCCCAGACAGCAAGCCCAGCAGAGACGACTGGGGCATCCTGGCAGAGGGCTGAAGTGAAAACCTCAAGCGAACGGGGATTCCTGGAGGCGAGTGGAGTCCTGTGTGGGGCCAAGTTGCAGTCCACCAGAGGACAGCTTGTGTGGCACTGGCACCACGTTTAGAAGCATGTGCCTCTGCACAGCCCAGGCTGCAAGGGCATGTGCAGCAGATGCAGGCAAGGCCTCCACCAGCCCCTGCAGCTCCTGGAACCATAACCACTGGCCTGCTCTTACCTTTGCCTCCTCGGTCTTCAGAAGGGCCTCCTGAGGCCTCCATCTCTCTGTGCTCAGAAGTGCCTGGGCCATCATGCCAGGGGCGCTTTCGGGGAGGTAGGGATGCCATGTCCATGCCTTGGAGAGAAGAGGAGCGTTCTCTGCTGGCTGGGGAATGACCATCGTGAGGGGGATGATCGGGTCGGGGAGCATCACGAAAATGTTCATGACCCGGCCCTGAAACAAGAAACAAATCTCCTTACAGGAAAGCACAGTGCGACCAAAAGCAGATGGGAATGACACTGTTGAGAGGAGGGAGCAACTCAGAAGCCACCGTTCACTCATGCTGAATGCCCACCACAGGCCCGGGGTAAGCCACCTAGACTAAGATCCAGAGAACCGGTTCTCACGTGGTGTAGTATCAAGACATCTTTACAGTCTCAGATGACTGAGGACTCCTAAGAGATTTGTTAATGAGAGTTATAACTACGAATGTTTAACATACTAGCAATTGAGACTGAGAAAATTTTACTTAACTTTATTCTCCAAAAACAATTGAGTGGAAAGAGCAGTCCTGTTTTATACTCAGATAGATCCCTGTAATGTCTGGCAGATTCCTCTGCTCTCATTCCACCTGCTGAGATCAAGATCTGTGGCTGCTGGACAGGAGACAGCCCAGGCCCCCGGGAGACATGAGCTGGAAGAGGGGACCCGGTGCACCCAAGAGAGGGCCCTCAGAACTCACTTTGTGAACTGCTATCTAGAGTTACCCAACAAGCGGTTCTTTTCCTTACCAGGCTCTCTGTTTCCATCCCAGGAATCTGGCTTCCGCCCTCCTTCAAAGCGAGGGAACTCGTCAGGAGTGGGAAGTAAACCCTTCCTTCCTCCTACACAACAGAGCAAACAGTGCTGCACTCAAGACTGTTCCCGGTATATTCACAACCACTGTATTCTGCACCCTATCCTTCCAGACCAGGTGTCCTTAGTAACTCGCTCACCTCGTGGGGTACCCCGACCTCGACCTCTGAGATCTCGTCCTCGGGCCGCTTCCTCAGAAGCATCAAAATTCTCCTCTGGACCAAAGTCTTCAGGACCAGGAAAACCATCCCTTCCTCTCGGGGGAGCACGGCCCTCATGCCTCGGCGGGGCTCCTCTTCTGAAACTGTAAAGCGAAAACAGCAGAATGTCCATCTCAGGGAACACCTTGCCACTAAGTTCACGTTTCAAAAAAGCATGTGATATGAGAAAGCATGATATAATGCTGATTGGGAGGAAAACAAAATAAAACTGTATTTTGAAAGGACACATTGTATAATCCTATTAATACTACCAGAGGCAAAAACAGACCAGAAGGAAGCATACCAGAGGGTGGGGTTACTGTAAGCTTCTTTTAGGCTTTTAGGAATAATAACAACATCAACATTTTTAAAGTGCCTATACCATGCCAAGTCCTTTACAAGTATACTTTGTTTCATTCATTTCATTCTCACAGCCACCGTATGAAGCTGGTATTAGCAGCAGCTCCATTGATGAGAACACTGAGGCCCAGATTACTGATGTCATTTATTCAAGGACATAGAGTAAGTGCTGGTGATCTGACCTCAGCCAGTCTTGACCCTTGGCCCAGGTTCTGTATCACTGCCTCACAAATACTTGTCATTATCATCTACATTTGTATGATGAACATTTATGACTTATATAATCAGAAAAATGGGGGCACAGATCGTGTCTGCCAACCATACTGGACCTGTTTGTGGGTAGGGGCTCTGCCATCTGCCCCAGCCCACAGCCTCCACCCAGGGGCAGGCCTCTGTGGCCACGAGCTGCACTCATGGCCCTGGCCCACAGCTGGCAGGCATACAGGCCAGCATCTGGCTTAGAGGCAGCCATCCACTGGCCAGCTGGCAGCCTGGAGCCCTGCTCAGTGAGCAGCTTCCCCTTCTCTCAGGAATTCTGGAGCCAGGAGACTACACTGACTGGGAGCATGGCTGAGGCACGCAGGGTACCAGGAGGCCTGTGCGAAAGAAGAGAAAGTGACCTTCTGGCAGCGCATACTAGAGGCAGCGGCACGCCCTCCAGGGCCCCTCTGCATGAGCTGCGTGGCCTCCTCCCAGGCCGAGCCTCTGCTCTTCCTCTAGTTTCCATTCCATTGCCTTTTACCCTAATCTTCTACTTGGAAGATTTTCAAACTTGCAGTAAAGCTGAAAGAACAGTACAATGAACATCCCAGATCCTCCACCCAGATCAATCCCTTCTTAATATTTTGCCACACGTGCTTTATCTTCTCCGTCTAGCTACTCATGAACATGTTTTCTAAACCATTTGAAAATCAGTTGCCAACAGGAGCTTCACCCCTAAATGCTTCAGTACGTTTCTTCTAAGAACAAGGACTTTCTCCTATATAACCACAATACCTTTACACTCTTATACACCAGCCTAGGCTGTGGGTCTGCACGGACAGATGAAAGACAGTACAAATCAAGACAGGGTGTCCAGGCATGGTGGCTCACGCCTGTAATCCCAGCACTTGGGGAGGCTGAGGCAGGCAGATCACTTGAGGCCAGGAGTTCGAGACCAGCCTAGCCAACATGGCTAAACACCATCTTTACTAAAAATACAAAACAGCTGGGCATGGTAGCGTGTGCCTGTAATCCCAGCTATTCGGGAGACTGAAGCACAAGAATCGCTTGAACCCAGGAGGCGAAGGCTGCAGTAAGCAGAGATTACGCCACTGCACTCCAGCCTGAGCGACAAAGCAAGACTCCCTCTCAAAAAAAGAAAAAAGAAAAAAAGACAAGGTAAAATGTAACATTTTGCACAAGATGCAGAGATTCAATAAGCCAGTGAACATTATGTAGATGTAAAGCTGTTGTAGTCATAAAAAGCCATGTCAAAGGTAATGCTTGCATATCATTAAGAGAGGGTCTTAAAAACACTGGGAGCCCTTACATCTTTATTTTTAACCTCCCTATCTCCCCTTCCCAAAACAATTGCTTCCTTAGCCCTCACTATGTCATGCTTCCGGGCCTGTCATCAGCCATGCTTTTCTCACCACCCCTGAGGGTGGGCTGGCCAACCATAACTCAACCACCAACCACTATATATATATATGTCTCGCCCTGTCACCCAGGCTAGAGTGCAGTGGTGCAATCTCAGCTCACTGCTACCTCTGCCTCTTGGGTTCAGGTGATTCTCCTGCCTCAGCCTCCCAAGTAGCTGGGATTTACAGGCACACACCACCATGCCTGGCTAATTTTTTGTATCTTTAGTAGAGACAGGGTTTCACCATGTTGGCCAAGCTGGTCTCAAACTCCTGACCTCACGACGCCCACCTCGGCCGGCCTCCACAGTGAGCCACTGTGCCCAGCATTAACTACCTATTCACAAGAAGAGTAAGAAATGGAATGAAAGGGCCAGGCACGGTGGCTCACGCCTGTAATCCCAGCACTCTGGGGGCTGAAGAACGTGGATCACTTGAGGTCAGGAGTTCAAGACCAGCCTGGCCAACATGGTGAAACCCCATCCTACTAAAAATACAAAAATTAGCCAGGCGAGGTGGCGTGCGCCTGTATCCCAGCTCCTCAGGAGGCTGAGGCAGGAGAATCACTTGAACCCGAAAGGTGGAGGCTGCAGTGAGCTGAGATCGTGCCACTGTACTCCAGCCTGGTGACAGAACAAGACTCCGTCTCAAGAAAAAAAAAAAAAAATGAGATGAAAGGACATGGATAGCTAAGGAGCAGTCAGAGACTACAGTAAAAGCGGAAGTGCTGAACAGCATGGGCCTGAAGCCCATCTCCGACATCTACCACCTGCCAGACCTCGGAAAGTCAAGACACTGCTCTTACTCTGTCTGAATCAGCATAAGATGCTGACAGTCGCACCTATCTCACAAATTCTTTAAATAAAATGAGGTCATTAATTTCCTAAATTAAAACAAATTCCTTGAATTAAATGAGGTAACATCATCTGACACAAAATAAACAATTATCATCATCTTTAATATTCTGAGTCTCACTTGAGATTTTACTATTTCCTGGGTGTTTGTTTTGTTTTGTTTTCTGTTAAGAGACAGGGTCTTGCTCTATAGCCCAGGCTGAAGTGCAATGGCATAATCGTAACTCACTGTAACCTCCTGGCCTCAGCTGATCCTCCCACCTCAGCTTCCTGAGTAGCTAGGACTACAGGCGTGCACCACCACACCCAGCTAATGTTTAATTCTTTTTTGTAGAGATGGAGTTACACTATGTTGTTCAGGCTGTTCTTGAATTCCTGGCCTCAAGTGATCTTCCTGCCTCAGCCACCCAAAGTGCTGGGATTACAGGCATAAGCCACACTGGTCCTGGGCTAATTCCTGTTTCTTTCTCCACATTTCTTCTGTTCCCTTAAACTCCCCAAGCAGGCTGAGATGAGTGTTCAAGCCTGATCTAAGTTTAACAGGAAGATTGTTTTTCAGTTTAAGTTTGTTAAGATTATTGGGCAATTACACAAAACTTGCATCTATTTCACAACCCCTTTATTTCCAATCTAGGTAGCTGCCTCATATTTCATCATTCTAATCAAGAAGAACCTGGAAATTTTAAGTCAGATCCCAGCAAGTCTTGTAGTATACTGATCCTCCTATCTCTTTAAAAGGACCAAAAAATAAATAAATAAGCAAAACAAAAAAGACTTCTAGACAGCAAAGATTAAAACAAGACTAAGGTTAAAAAAGCACACTTTTAAAAAGTCCAAATGCAAACTCTAGAGAGTGTAGGGCTAGTAATTGATGTAATTCTCTTTCCTCAAGAAAAAGAAGAAAGAGACCTTTGTGGAGAGAGCAGGTAAAAAGCTCCACTGAAGATGGAATGGGCCCACAAAGTATCTGTCCCACCTTTCTTCTCTGCGCCCTCGAAAACGTGGGTCCTCGGGATCCCGGGGGAAACGGTCGTCTCCGGGTCTGCGGCCTTCCCACGCCCCCGGAGGGCCTCGGGCTGCACCCCGGCCATCCCCCTCGCTGAATTCCCTGTGATCAGGGGGAAACGGAGGCCCAGGGCCCCCTCGCCTCCACTTCTCTTCTTGCGGTAAAGGTCCTCCTCGCCCCTCAAATTCACGTAACCGGTGGCCAAAGCGCTTGTCAGGGTGGAAGTCATCTGGTCTGCTGAAGTCATCGGGGAAGTCTGGGTGAGGGCCACGCCTATCAGGGGGACCCCTGCAGTCCTGGCCACCCCGGAAAGGCCCCCTCTCGGGCCCATGCTCAGGCCCGCCGCTCTGCTCATGCCGCCTCTCTGACATCGGGCCCATGTGATGATTTGGAGGGCCGCGGGATTCACCTAAAGGAAACAAAGCTGACTTTTACCATGTCTTCCAGGAAACCTGCCAACATAGGTCTGATCTGTAGCATCTCCACATTTCAGAATACATTCTTTATTGAGAATGGTTTCCCTCCTTGGCTCTCAGCTTAGTTAGGAGACAAATGTCCCTGAGGCATTGTATAATAGAACAGGAGCTTTGGGGTGCAGATTTCAACTTCATCACCCACTAGCTAGGGCAAATTACTCATCTCAAATGAGATCAGCAGTGCCTCTCCATCTCTTAGTTTGCACTGGAAAAATGAGAGAGCCTCCTGGGCTTCAGAAGGAGCCTCCTTTATCTGCCCCTATTCTTTCAGGCATTTCATTAGGGCCACCTGCTCCACATCCAAGGCGGACACAACAGAGGAAATTAATGCTGCAGGCCAGGAAGCGCACCAAGAATTCACCTCTGCACCCATCAACAGGGCGCCACTGCCACCCATGCCATCCCTCCTCTAACCCCAAAAATTCACCTCTGCACCCATCAACAGGGCGCCACTGCCACCCATGCCATCCCTCCTCTAACCCCAAAAATTCACCTCTGCACCCATCAACAGGGCGCCACTGCCACCCATGCCATCCCTCCTCTAACCCCAAAAATTCACCTCTGCACCCATCAACAGGGCGCCACTGCCACCCATGCCATCCCTCCTCTAACCCCAAAAATTCACCTCTGCACCCATCAACAGGCGCCACTGCCACCCATGCCATCCCTCCTCTAACCCCAAAAATTCACCTCTGCACCCATCAACAGGGCGCCACTGCCACCCATGCCATCCCTCCTCTAACCCCAAAAATTCACCTCTGCACCCATCAACAGGGCGCCACTGCCACCCATGCCATCCCTCCTCTAACCCCAGCTTGTTGCACTTGATTCCTCTGTAAGGTGCGTGCAATCCCGGCCTCTCAAACACCTGCCTGATGACCACCCTGCTGGGCTCAGTGTCGGGGTTTTCTGCACCTCTCTATGAATGTTGTTCCTCATCTACAATATTCTCACCATTCTTTGAAGACAGTGTTTGGAATCCCACTAAAGTTTTCTAAAATATTTGAAAATATGTACCACAGTGAAAGTACTGAATAAAGATGGAAAGATGCCAGTTAAATGTGTGATGGTTAACTTAGTTCACCTCCTAACTTGGAAGGGACTGTTTTCCCAGCTGCTGAACTACTGCAGCTTTTGTAAATGTTTACCTATTTTTGGTCAACATACAGTTTAAATCAAGCACTTTTAAAAAGTAGGTAGTAAAAGGATACTCTTGATTCTAAAAACAAAAACTGTGTTTTTAAAGTGAAATTCCTCCAATAGCCCAGTTTATGCCTTTTACTGCTTTTCCCTGGCAATAAAGACAAACCCCTCCTGTACCCCAGCCAGCCATAATTCTCACCTCCCCGCCAACAGCATCCCTCCTCTTTCTTTTCTTTCTTCTTTTTTTTTTTTTTTTTTTTTTTGAGACAGAGGCTTACTCTGTCACCCAGGCTGGAGTACAGTGGCATGATCTCAGTTCACTGCAACCTCCACCTTACGGATTCAAGTGATTCTCCTGCTTCAGCCTCCCGAGTAGCTGGGATTACAGGTACTACGCCTGGCTAATTTTTGTATTTTTAGTAGAGACAGGGTTTCACCATGTTGGCCAGGCTAGTCTTGAACTCCTGACCTCAAGTGATACATCCAGTCAGCCTCCCAAAGTGCTGGGATTACAGGCATGTGTCACTGTACCCGGCCCCTCCCTTTTCATTTTCGTTCATTTCTACTGCCTATTTCAATTCTTCCTTACCATGCAACATATATAAAATGCTTGGAAATCTCAGGATAAAAATGTGCCATTAAAGGAGGCTCTCTTTTCCAGCTCTTTTCCGTCTGTCTCATTTACCCGTCCTCTCCCCTCTACTCAGCAGTTTGCAAAGATCCTAGCTCCATTTCCTTCTGGTACACAGGCTCCTTCACTTCTCAGTGTGTTCCTGCAGCTAATGGCTTCTTCACTGACATGATGTTGTTTGAACTTAGTGTAATCTCAGAAACAGCAGACCTTTGGAGTAAGGAAGCTAAACATATTCCGTTTGGACTTACCTATGAATATTAATCCTCCCATTACCTCTATCTGTTTAAAAGTACCCTGCTCTTCAAGGAAAGAAACCCACCACTACAAATTAGAAGGGATGTGGCCACCAGTGATGGGCAGCGGCGGCGGTTATTCCAGTAGGGGATGGCAGGGCCACTTTCTCGGCTCTCCCTTCTCCCTTTGGTCCCTGGGAGGAGAAAGGAGGAAGAGAAAGAAAGGGGGCGGGGGATAAAGAGAACAGGGAAAGAGCAAGGATGAGAGGGAAGGAGGTGGAGACAGACACAGGGCAGGGAGAGGAAGAGAGGCAGCTCTCAGTTTGCTGATGGCGATGGCTTGGGGGGTAAAAGACTCTCCTTTTGTTTCTCTAGTTCCCTGTGGGCCACCTGCCTTCCGTAGAGCCTCTGCTGCCGCTTCCACACAATGGGAAAGCAGTAAACACTCTAGTTCCCTTATCCCTTTCTTACCTCTAATATCACACATCAATTCAACATTAGCATAAATTCACAAAGTCCCAGGGCTGTAACGCTGACAAGAACTTTTCTTAATTGGATAAAATGGGGGCAAGAATCTTAACATGTACTACACAGTGCTGTGGGCTTAGCCAATTAAAACTGAGAGGGTAAAGTTCTGTGAAGGGCAACCTCTGCGGTCCTCCTGATGCTCCGAGTTGTGGTTTCTCCCTGCTATGAAGTGTGTGTCGAACATAACACAGTGTTTCCTCACTCCCCTCCATCCACACTCCGAGTCACCCCCTCCAACTCTCCCCAACAGCGTGCTGCCTACCACGCTCCTGCTCCAGCTCCGGAAGGATTAACTCTAAACTTCCAAACAGCCCACATCTCAATACTAATCATTCTCATCTCTTTCCTTTTCATATCAACAACCTGAGGAACCACATATGGGTAGAGTGCTTTCTTCTTTTCAAATGGTGCACAACTACATAACCAGCTAAAGAATTCAATATATGACAGGATTTGGGAGGACACGGTGTGATAATAAAAGCACTGTCAAAAAATTTAAGCAGAAACAATTCATCTCTTCAGGATGGTAGAAACATACATATGCACTCAGTGAGCACAGGAACCACCTGCATTGGCAACAGATGGGCAAGGCCAGCCCTGCCACACAGGCACGACTGCTGGAGCCTGCTCGGGTGCCTTCACTGTCAGCTTCTGGGGTGAGGGGCCTACTTCCTCTGGCTAGCGCTGCTGCCTACTAAACAGATCTAAGAAAACAACCAGGCCGGGCGCGGTGGCTCACGCCTGTAATCCCAGCGCTTTGGGAGGCCGAGGCGGGCGGATCACAAGGTCAGGAGATCGAGACCACGGTGAAACCCCGTCTCTACTAAAAATACAAAAAATTAGCCGGGCGCGGTTGTGGGCGCCTGTAGTCCCAGCTACTCGGGAGGCTGAGGCAGGAGAATGGCGTGAACCCGGGAGGCGGAGCTTGCAGTGAGCCGAGATCGCGCCACTGCACTCCAGCCTGGGCGACAGAGCGAGACTCCATCTCAAAAAAAAAAAAAAAAAAAAAAAAAAAAAACCAAAA